GACTTTGAATCTCTTATTAAACAGGAACATATACCTAACCCTTTTAATTCGATCACTCGGGTAATACTCTTAAAATAATCAGCTTTCCTGCACCATCACAAAAACATATATTGATGTTGATTGATAAAAATATTTTAAAGATTGTATTCAGTGATTGAGGATGAGACTAAACCCTTTAATGTTACGCCCCCACAGATAACAACAAGCTATGGCTGTGGCACCACATGAAAAACATACAACAAGTCCATGCATCTGAAAATAATTAAAACATCTAACAATATTAATCCCTCCACAAGATTTGCATCACCATAAACAAAACACCAAACCCTAGTCGAACCTAACTTGTCCATATTCTAACATAACACAACACAAACATAACACCAAACACGACATTTGAACAAAGAGGAGTGTATGAGTGATCAAATATTTTGATTTCTTATTCATTTCAAACACAAAGCAACATTTAATGTACAAACAATTTTTTTGAATAAATTTTACATTTAATTAAAAAAAAAAATAGTGTATATTGCAGAAGAAATGATCCTTGAAACTTTGCATATGATAAAACGCATAATCGAAACGATATAACCTTGAAAAGTAGTCAGAACTTTATATGAATCTTGTTCAGAAAGAGGAGCTACTATACGAACAACACTTGATTACGAAGCAAAACGAAACGAGATATATACAGAAAGATGGATACCAATCGAACCTGGGAGGAAACCAGTAACCATAATCAAAAGAGAGATGGTTTCCTGGTTTTATAATGTGTCTACTATAATGTTACTTTAACTTACACCATCATATAGAAATGACTTCTGTGTTTCGTCCTCCCACAAAAGCGTTTTCTTGATGAGATTGTCAACCATTGCTACAGATAACAATAAACAAAGGAAAACTATAAGCTAAAGATCTCATCTGAATCTTTAGTGGACAAGAGAAAATAACATACCTGGAATCTTGTTTACTGTAATCTAAGCTTGTTCTACGTGCTTTAAGTTTACATGACCGCCTCTTCCAGCGCTGTACCGGTTCTCATCCTGAAACCAAACAAGGCATTTCTCAGTTACATCTTCCACCGCTGTACAGGCTGATGTTTGTAGACTGCTCGTGGTTAGTCCTATGTAAGCTCGGATGAACCTCGCTAACAGTTTGTCCAAAGTCGACTCCAAGAACACCGCATAGAGTGTGCACCTCATTCACATAATCTCAAACCTTGTTCAGACGATCCGACTACATAAAAACAAGAACAAATGAGTAAGTAAACAGCTTTATAATGTAAAATCTTGGTTCTTCTTGCTATATGTCCAAGAAAATATCCTCACATTCTCCTTCTGAAGCAAGCGGACATTTGTTTGATACTCATTAAGTTTCCGAAGAGTCAAGTCTTGTTCATTGAGAGTCAAAGAACCAATCATCGTTTGCTTAAGTTGGTCACCGTATCCACAAATTTAACGCTCATCTTCTCAATTTGTGTCTTTTTATCCACAAATTGCTTCATTTGTTCATCTTTTTGCAATCTCAAATCCTCAAGCATAGGCATCAACAACAGCAAGCCTCTCCTTCAATGATTTCAAACTTTTCTCTGCTTTAATCTGTAATTCCAAAACACACATTTGTCAAACAAGAAAAATCAAAACTTTCTCTATGTCTCCAATATAAAGGTAACAGTTTGAAACTAAGCACACTTGCTCGAGAATTCCGGAGCCCATACAAAACAAAATTATTGACATTAATTTAGATATTTTTTTATTTTTTTGGGGTTTTTAACAACAATACATTGATATCCTTTTATGTTAAATAAAATTATGAAAAAAACTACTTAACATTTTTGTTTTAAAATCATATAATCACACAAAATATTTGATCTCATAAAAAATATGTATGTGTTTTTTACTAAATTTTTATTTTTTAATCAAATTACATATTTTCATACAAACTAAACATATAATCTATTTTTTTAATAAGTGGAGCCTTTAAACGTGGGGCTCATTCAAATATTTCAAATAAATGGGCTCAGATCCGGCCATGCACTTGCTCATACGGGTGAACACATGTTATTTGGTATAACCCTAATTATTTTGTATAATATAATGAATATCCTAATAATTTGGATAATGCAGGTTATTTTGGAAATTTTGGTTTTATATCGGTTTTTCAATTATATTACTTGAACCCATCCGAATAGAAACCGATCCAAACATATATGAATCGTAAACGTCTTTACTCGAAATTCAAAAGAACCGAATCGGAATTAAGATGATTCATGTTACTAAAGACTTGTGGACTCATTCCTATGTGGCAATATGATAGCATTATTTTTGGCTCAAAGACATATTTTGATAGTAAGAAACGTTTGGCTTCTTCTTGTGAGGTTCACATTTTTTGGGTGAACATAAACTGTATTTGGTCAATTATGATCGTAGGTCCCTTGTGTAAGTTTTGGTATGTTGTATATAGCTAACAGATAGCACTATTGCTCAGCTTGTAATGCATTGCTTGTATCCGAACTCTTTTAATTACTCGATGCCAAAAAAAAAAAGGATAAAAAGAACATAAACAACATTTTGTTTGTTGACAATTTTTTGTTTAATAAAAAAACAAAAACTCTATAGTTTCAGGTCTATGTTTCAGAGCAATTAACGCTCTCTTTGATCACTTGTTACCAGACTTCTTTTTCTTCCACCTTCTTATAAAATCCACACCGTACATGACGGCTACAGCCACAGTAATCGTTCCGATCGAAAACCTTGGAGTAGAAAATATAAAACCTACAAAAAAAAACATAACCCAACATTGTCTTTCAACAAAATATGATTCTTCACATAACCTTCTAAGTAACATGCAGAAACATGATGAGTTTGTCCGTACTCTGAATCTGACTTGATCTTGTCAACCATTTTATCAAAGGAGCCTTCTCCACTAAAGACCATAAAAGGATGTTCCTTAGGTTCTTGGATCATGAGATTACCAGCTTTGTCTCTAACAGCCTACAACAAACATAGGGAAGGACGAAATATCAAATGTAACTAAAACGCCACTCTTACATAATCCACATTAATTTCCTGGATAAAGAAGAAACACACGGGGCTTCCTTTACCTCACCAACAAAAGTCAGAGAAGTCCCAATATTAAGAGCACTTCCATGGAGGACCTAAATGAAAACACATCACAATTATGGTTTCAACCCAAAGGGAAAATATGTTGTAGGGGAAAGACAGAGAAAAAAAAACATTGAAGGAACAAAAACCTTAGAGCCTTCTGCATCAAAAACCTTAGAGGCTTCTTCTATTGAATAATTGGGTGAAACAAGCTTCTTCAAGACTTCAACTACTTCACTCTCCGAGATATCAACATACTCTTTTAGAGCCTCATAAAATCCTACCGCATCTTCAAATCCTACCACCTTTACCCGACCAGTACCGTCTTCCTAATTGAGAGATAAGAGAGAAAAATAGCCAATTAAAAATGTGTGGGCAGGCTTAAGTGTGTGGGGGCAAGAAATTATAGCAAATGAATGTTCTCTTACCAGGTACCAAGGAGTCTGATTTAGTCTCGCTAGAAAATTCAGAGACCCATTCATGAAACCATCTACCAACTTGCGCTCAAGATCCACTTGGGCCTGATGAAGACAGTATACAGTCTTAAGACACCACTAGATCAGACAAGTAAGGACACATGATGCCAACTCTACAAAAGCAATCTTACCTAAACATCGAAAACAGATTCAAAAGAACCATTATCTTTGCATTTGAAAGGTGCTGCGGAAGCAACTCTTCCGGATACCACAACAAGAGGATTCATGGTTTTTTCTTTAAGCAAATCATCTGTAAGAAAAAAATAATAATTCGATCATTTGAAATCTGAAACCGATACATAATAAGAAATATATATAGACTTTGAATCTCTTATTAAACAGGAACATATACCTAACCCTTTTAATTCGACCACACGGGTAATACTGCTAAAATAATCAGCTTTCCTGCACATCACATAAGCATATATTGATATTGATTGATAAAAATATTTTAAAGATTTATATTCAATGATTTGAGGATGAGACTAAACCCTTTAATGCTACGCCCCCAGAGATAACAAGCTATGACTGTGGCACTGCATGCACCCCAAGAAAGACATACAGCAAGTTCATGCATCTGAAAATAATTAAAACATCAAAAGATATTAATCCATCAAAAGATTTGCGTCACCATAAACAAAACACCAAATCCTAGTCGAAACTAGCTTGTCCTTATTCA